GACTTTTCCCATGTTCTCCCGATTTGCTTCGTTGCGCAATAAAACGTTGTTGATGCATTTCAGTGAATGAAGCTGTCAAGCAGAACTTCATGGCTGCGTTGGGATCACATATAAGGAAGGCTATTGCACTGAAAAAGGGCGACACCGGCTGGGTGTTTGGTGGAGCGCTGAGGAATGCTTGTCGATTTCGATTGCAGTGTTCCGCTTCGTATGCCTTGAATGAGATAGATGTCGCTGTGATGCCAGGCCCGGGTGTATGGAAAATATCGCCTGTTCAACCACAGGTTTGATCAAGTTATTTAGTGTTTTTCGTGACTCCGTAAGTTGTCCAAAAAGGTCGCTGTGCGTTGAGAAATCCGTTATCCTTAGGATGAAATGTCCATCCCTTGTCCGTGACTGTGTTTTAGTGCCGCTAGATGTCACTAGCGGTCGCGGAACTTACGTGTGAATTTCAATTTTCCGCAGAGTTACTGAAGTTCCGTCTAGGTGTCGTACGAATCCTTGCTTTTTTTAGAAGCGATGGTTTGTGAAAGATAAACTTGATTCAGTTCAGATGCAAGGGTACCTTATTTACTTAAGAAAACGCTCACATTTTTTTCAATAAAATGGGGCAAAAAATGAGGGGGCTTCATATTCGGGTACGAAATTTCAAGTGACATTTTTTCGAAACGTGAACTTATTCTCATTTTCAAAAAAAACTTGTTTCGGAGTTTTCTAATACCGCCACTGTACAGTATAATGATACTATTATTTATATGAAACAAAAATCTCCGTAAAATTCAGTTTATGATTGGGCTTTAATTCAGGTTTTTATCCAGCACAGTTTTTCAAATAGGAATTTTCGGTAACTGAAAACAAAGGTGAACATCTTATATATACGGGGATAAGATTTTTCCGGAAGGTTTAGCTAAAATTCTAAATTTATTCCTAATCTTGTTCTTAGGTATGACAGTGAGTCATCCCGAGTTCTGCATGGTTGCTTTTGGGTTCCTTGTGGTCTCGTGAACATAGCCCAGCATTCGAGTAAGAGGGTTCATCTGCTGATTTCGGTGACATTTCAAAGAAATGATGCTCCCCCATTTCTTGATTTTTCTTGCGTATATAAAGCAATTTTTAGACCGCGTGAACATATTCCGTATAGAACGTACGTATGTTTGCATTTCATCCGATTTGAAACCCTTAAAAATGTTCAACATGCTTCTCATCCACAGTGACTTTTGGGACACCCGGTACAATATTAGTATTATACAGTACTTCATTTTCGTGCATAATTTTTTTTCCAGGGCGTGGATGTGGATCGATTTTGCCAAGAATCCCTGCAGAAAATAACGTGGACGTGGGTGAATTTGCAGCGAGCGGAGGTTCATTAATTACCATTTTCCGTTTATAAAATGTATTTCTCATTGTCCAAATGTTTTGTTTCATTGCAGCCCTTGATGAGATTTGGATTCGAGGTGAACGACCGAGATTTCTTCGACTTGCAATCATGGATGCCTTGTTTAAGTGGCCTTTTTCCACCGTCTTCGCATTAGTTGACCGTTTTATTTTATTTCTGCATCGAGTACAGTATTGTTCATGGATCCAAGAAGATATTTTTTTGCAAATAAAAATGTAGTTTGAACATACACGTGTCTTTGCATGTCAATTTAAATTCGTGATTACAGTAACGCAGTGGATCTTTAAAAATTATATTTGTTTAAGGAAAGTTGTTTCTCTTGCCTTGTTGATCATTTGTTGAGGTAACTGGCCTTTCGGGGGCGTGGGAATGGATGGTGAGTGTCTTTTTTCAGTTCTTTGCACATTTTTTGATTGAAACTGAATTATTTTTCTAATAATCTGAATAGATGAATGGATCTCGTTCAACGTCGGCGGGCAAATATTCACCACCACAAGAGCTACTCTTGTGGGAAAAGAGCCGACATGCATGCTTGCAAGGTTTGAAAATTTTAACTTCCTCTCTTGTGCAAATATACAGTAAATCCGATTTAGGACATCTGTGAAAGACATCGGAGAAGAAACCCAACAAATAACGTATAATTTTTCGAATTTCACTGACGAACATATTTTTCCTGGTGTGGACTTGAATGAGGCGTAATGGAATTTTAGAGAAGATAATTTCCACCACTTTTATTCGCAAGTAATCATCTGTGTCTTCGAAAACCGCGTGTAGCAGTTTTCTTCGCGAATTATTATTTCCCGAGTTTGTGTGGTCTCAATAATGTTCCATTTCCCTTTACAGTTCATTTTATTTGAACACGTATGAAACCGATACAGGCTGGTGTTCAAAAGTTGAAGGGTGTGTAACACATTTCCCAAAATTCAAGGTGAATGTAGTTTGAAGCAGGATCTGAACTTTTGGAGGTCAGAAAGCTGGTAAAATAAGACCATGAATATGAGATAACATGAGGAAATTGTTGTTGGCAGTCCTTCAATCGCCGTTAGCCGATTCGAAATCAGAGATAATGGGAACACTAATGTGATCGATTATATGTTTGTTTTGTCAATCAACCTTTTGAAATCGTCATGCTTTTTTGGTCATTGGATGCAATGTTCTTTTGCAGAATGTTTTCTCGAGAAACGGAAGATTTTTGCCTGAAGCCGGGAGTGAAAGATGCATCTGGAGCGTATCTTCTCGACAGGAGTCCGAAGTACTTCGAACCCTTGCTGAATTATTTACGTACCGGGAATTTAGTTCTGGACCAAAGCATAAATCCAAGAGGTTCGAATCTTCTTTTATTTCACTGTATCGTTAAACTTCGTGTTTGTGGTCATAACTGGAATATTTTTTAACGCTATATATTTACGGAAATTGACGTTTAGGTGTTCTGGAAGAAGCCAAGTATTTCGGGATTGAGAGTCTGATTCCTCTTCTCGAAGCGATGCAGCCTGTAGCAGTTCCGAAAGACCAGCAACCCCTCACAAGACGGGATGTTGTGGAGGCGTTGATTCAGTCTCCTTGCACATCTCCATTGAGATTTCAGGTCCGACATACTAATTATGAAACCAGTTTTACGATGCTTACCAGTTTTACAAGTTTTATCAATGCTCTCCACCGAAGTGAAGTTTAATGGATCAAGTGCGCAGCTCCTCTTGATGCATTAAACTTCACTTCAGTGGAGATCATTGACTGTGAGGTATTTTTCTTGTTTTCATGTGTAGCTGAGTAGTGAATGAAAAATTCATAAAAAACCAAAATGAGGGATTGAAGAACAAAAGAAACAATTGCATCCGCTTGTGATGTCGGCATTTGGCTGTTTATCATCTTTTACAAACCAGCCCTTTTATCTGGATTGTATATGAATTGAACAAAAAATCTGAGCCGATTCAATTTATTATTTCCCGTGAGAAGTACTTCGGAGGTACTGTATTTCTATTCGCACCCAAGTTTGTCACCTTCACATTCAAAGAATCAATTCGAACTACAGTGGCTTCCCTGCATAACAAAACTGATCCGTTCCTGGATGCTTTTCTTTATGCTAAATTGTCGTGCTGCGGAACGAGATTACCCTTGAATTTAAATCATAGTAATTTAATTCTTTCTAGGCGGCACTCAACGAAAGACCGTAGAAAACCTTGAAAGTTGAAACTGTGTATTTGTCCTAGTTTTCAGCATAAAATTGTCAATTTTACCTCGAGTATTGTTACCTTTTTGTAATCCAGGCAAGTTTATGCTTTGAAATTTCAAAGTTTCACAAATTTTTAAAGCGAGGAGAGACAGAGCTCATGTTTTTCGTTTGTAATTTTCTCAATTTTTTTATCCTGAAGTTGCAGCTTAAAAGTTATCGATAATTGAGCGTTTTTTGGCCGAAAAATTCGTCGTATGATTTTACTTTATTATTTCGCGCCTTTCTTCTCTGAAGATTTAAAGAGAAAACGAAAATTGTTTTGGGTGTGCGTTCAACTCAAATTAAAATGCAAGTTCGAAAGAAATTTTTCTCGAACTCGAGTGCAGTATCGATGAAAATATCTGGTTAATTTCTGATCGTCTCGGAATAACTTTTGAGCTCGAAAGCGATGTCAAATAATTTTTTGCAGCGTTTATGACTGGAATTTATCGCCATCTTTCAGATTTAATCGCCGTCTTTTCTTACTGTCCGTCTTTCCTAATTAAGGACTGCCACGCAACCTTGAAAAAACCACGCTTACAATTTATATACAGCACCTCGAAGTGGGAGCTAAATTGGAAATGCTCCACTGTGTAATAATTCATAGAAAAACATTTACCTACATATGGAAATGAGGACTACGAAGGGAAATATGTTGCTTGTTAAGAGTCCATAGAGAAAAATGTATGTTGCGTTCTTAAAATTGGCCCAAAGGAATTTCCCGTCCAAAAGACGTCTGTGTATTGGGTATTGAATTTTTGAATCTTTCTGGTTCCCAGGGAGTGAATTTAGCGGGTGCTGATTTGTCGAGATTGGACCTGCGGTACATCAACTTCAAATACGCGTGTTTGAAGAATTCCAAGTTGACTGAGGCGAACCTGAGTTATGCATGCTTTGAGCGAGCGGATTTGTCGGGAGCGGATCTCGAGTCAGCGTCACTATTGGGTGTGAAAATGTTGTGTGCCAATATGGAAGGTGCCAATCTTAGTAGTTGACTGAGGCGAACCTGAGTTATGCATGCTTTGAGCGAGCGGATTTGTCGGGAGCGGATCTCGAGTCAGCGTCACTATTGGGTGTGAAAATGTTGTGTGCCAATATGGAAGGTGCCAATCTTAGAAAGTGCTCATTTTGCGATCCTTCGGGAACTGCCAGCAACCTCGAAGGTGTGTGTTAAGTTTGCAAGGATTCTCACTTGTGAGGAGTGCAAAAGCCGCGTATACTGACGTCATCTTTTGTGTCGTCTGTGTATAGAATAAGCTTTTCACCACATTTTTTAAACCAACGTTACGTAATGGTCAACTTATCTAGTCTGAGGTACAATTGATGCTACCCTGCCCGAAACAACTGAACTGATGATGATTTTAGAAAGTTCAAAAATGTTAATGTCTAAATATGAAGATGTGTTCGAGTGTGAATAGGAATGGGGTATTGATGTACAGTACAGTACTGTACATTACTTCGATTATTGTACTCTACAATCATTGCGTAACAGCCAAGTATTGTAATTTTGGTCGGGTTATGTACCAAAAAGTTATTGACCAGATCATGTAGACTATGTGCAGATAGTACCAAACCTCGCTTTTGCGTTTGACTTGAAATTCGACGATGTTGGAGGAATTCTTTTTACGATACATTCACCGCAATTCAGCATTCGGCATGTTTTTTTTTTCTTTAACAGGAGTGAATTTGAAGGGAGCAAACCTCGAAAACAGCGACATGGAGCATATAAATCTGAGGGTTGCCAAACTGCGGAATGCGAATGTGCGTAACTGTGACCTGAGAGGAGCTTGTCTTGCCGGTNTTGGGTATTGAATTTTTGAATCTTTCTGGTTCCCAGGGAGTGAATTTAGCGGGTGCTGATTTGTCGAGATTGGACCTGCGGTACATCAACTTCAAATACGCGTGTTTGAAGAATTCCAAGTTGACTGAGGCGAACCTGAGTTATGCATGCTTTGAGCGAGCGGATTTGTCGGGAGCGGATCTCGAGTCAGCGTCACTATTGGGTGTGAAAATGTTGTGTGCCAATATGGAAGGTGCCAATCTTAGGAAGTGCTCATTTTGCGATCCTTCGGGAACTGCCAGCAACCTCGAAGGTATGTGTTGAATTTGCAAGGCTTCTCACTTGTGAGGAGTGCAAAAACCGCGTATATTGACGTCATCTTTTGTGTCGTCTGTGTATAGAATAAGCTTTTCAGCAAATTTTTTTAACCAACGTTACCTAATGGTCAACTTATCTAGTCTGAGAAACAATTGATGCTACCCTGCCCGAAACAACTGAACTGATGAGGATTTTAGAAAGTTCAAAAATGTTAATGTCTAAATATGAAGATGTGTTCGAGTGTGAATAGGAATGGGGTATTGATGTACAGTACAGTACTGTACATTACTTCAATTATTGTACTGTACAATCATTGCGTAACAGCCAAGTATTGTAATTTTGGTCGGGTTATGTACCAATAAGTTATTGACCAGATCATGTAAACTGTGTGCGGATAGTACCAAACTTCGCTTTTGCGTTTGACTTGAAATTCGACGATGTTGGAGGAATTCTTTTTACGATACATTCACCGCAATTCAGCATTCGGCATGTTTTTTTTTTTTCTTCAACAGGAGTGAATTTGAAGGGAGCAAACCTCGAAAACAGCGACATGGAGCATATAAATCTGAGGGTTGCCAAACTGCGGAATGCGAATGTGCGTAACTGTGACCTGAGAGGAGCTTGTCTTGCCGGT